ACCATGTCAGCTCAGCTTACTACTGATGTTGTCACATCACATGGCCCCTTTCAGGTTCTGAAGAGGCAGCTGAGTCAATGCCTGGTACATGATAAAGCCGAAGGCGATCAGACAGCCATTGAGTCGTTGGTGGATTCTGAGGTTGCATTGTCAGATGCATCAGTCGCATGGTCAACCAAGATCATTTCATTTGGCCATCATGTTGGGAAGTGGCTTGCATCAGAGGCCGACAAGACTGTGGCTTTGGACAACCGGGCTGTCACATCACATTCAACATTTGGGCACATGAAGGCGCAAATGCTTATGTCGTGTACTTGCTCACACTCAAGCGGCGATGCCTCAGCATGTTCGCTCCATTGCCCATCGCCATCACTGGCTGACATTGTGTACATCATTTGTCAAGCAGTTCACCCTGTCTTTGGTGATGGTTTCACATGCTTCACCAACCTGTTGATTGAGAAGACCGCCTCAGGCTGGTAAAGATGTGGAAAGATTCCAAAGACAAATCCATTTGCCATTTGCCACTCTTTCATTTGACAGTGTTACATACAAGCAAACAAACAATAGACTTTAATCCTATGACTATTTGATTTGACTTTTTCCTATTTAGATGAGTGTGTTGTTGAGCGTTTGATAAAGTTGATCTTTCCCAATTTCCCAATGCGGAACTCGCAGGATGGACCACCGAGTTGTCAGAATGCCTGAAGGGATTGCCATTCCAACTTGAACTTGGCCACGTGATGGTTCTAATGCGGATGCGTGCCACCTATGTAGTGCAGCTATTGGTTTCTACTTGCGAGAAGCATGCCACAGCTTTTCAAACATTATTCAAGAGACTTCGTGACCCAGAGACCCACAAGTCATTGACAGAGCTTGACGCATGCATCATCTCTGGTGCAGAAGCCTTCTGTGAGGCATGGACATCGGCACTTGTTGTTCTGAACAAGGACCAAGTTCTGGACAAGCATGCCATTCTGAAGTCGCATGGCATCAAAATCTTGGATGCATCTTCGATGGAAGCAGCTGATGTTGGGAAAGGTGAAAGCACAGATGGGACAACACAACCATCTGACACCCTCTTTGGCGTCAACGATCTCATCCAGTTCACTACTTGCAGCCGTGTATTGCCAGCTGACACCAACATGGCGCTGATGCATTTGATGCAGTTGACATTGTTCGAACAAGCCAGGCGCTCTAGTTGATAAACAGTTGGGGTCAGTCAAAACACCAAGCGTGAACTTACTGACTTACTGAACTTACTACGTTACTAAATTACTGTAACTATCTATGTCTATGATATCAAATGATATCAAATGATATCAATATCTATGATTCGGTCATATATATATAAATATATATTATGATAGAATTTATATTTTATGATTGTACATGTTCCGAATGTTAGACCAGATCAATTCGACATTCACTCACCAGGAAAACTGAGAAGCACCATGGCAAGTCATTGTTGGTGCACATGTCCGACAATGACAAGGGCAAATCTGACATTGAGATTCTGTACCAAGTCCCCCATGCATCATCAGTCTATCTTTCGCCCAAAGATGAATCCATCAAGCTTTGCAAGCTTCCTGCAGACTTCAAGTTGGTCTTCTTTGGTACCGTTGGAAGCATGGCTGTTCTTGGGTGTTGATTTTAACCGTTCATAACCATTCAAAGAATATTTTACATACTTATACTAAAGTTATATTTCTTTTGTCATTTGTTATTCATTATTTATTTTCATAATCATCGACAATCATCATCAGAATGTTTGAAACGACGGTACATCACATCAGGAGAGTTTCATTGTGAAGAGCCATCGAGCACGGCGACTGCAGCCAGGAAAGCACCATCGTTTGGGCCAGGAAAACCAATTCTTCAGATACCTTTGCTACCAGAGCAACAGCAACGAGAAGATGATGATGAGGAATCCTGGAAACGTTACGGTGCCTCATCTACTGATCTATATCTATTGAATCTTGTTGTTTGTGTTTGTTGTTGCTGTTTCTGTCTCTTTATCTGTATAGATTTTGATATCATTATTATCATAATATACTATATATATATATGTATATATATATATATATCTATCTATCTATCTATATCTATATTATATGTCTGACCTGAAGTGACTTTCTTTGTGTTAGTTTTCTCAGAACATGTGATTACCACCCAGGCGGTTTGGACTTTGCTGTGCATGCTGCTGGGTTCAATAGCCTGAACAATGCGGTCTTTTCGGTCGCATGGATGGTTCCATGTGTGGCAGATGAGTCGTGCCAAACATGCTTGGAATTTGACACCGAAACCACTCAGTTCTCTTTCACATTTGGTGGAGAAGACCATGGGCAGATCAAGCTCACTTACGCGGTTCTTCGTGCTACTGAGTCATCCATTTGCTTTGTCAAAGAGATCAATGGCAACCAATATGCGGTCTTGAAACGAGGATTGCTGCTTCTTGGCAATGATCAGTCATCAGTTTTGCACTCTCTGATCGTCTGATCGTCATACTAAATACTATGAAAAGGTCATTGTAATCACAAAACTTTAGTATCGTTAAATTCATTATGAATTATGTTTTTCAAATTCCTTCATTCCTTGATTCATTGCAACTGTTCTTCACACCAGGCCTGGAGAGAAGTGGAAGGCTACCAGAGGAAAAATTGCTCCATCAAGTGGACCATCATTCCCACTGCCGCCGCACAATGATGAGGAAGGACAGTCAAAGTTGGGGGGGGCAGCAGAAGCTATCAAAGCGCGAAAGAAGACAGATACATCGGATAGCACTGAGGCCGTACCTTTGCATTTAAAGGCATCAAAAGATTGCCAGCATCTGGTAAAATAGCCAGGTTTTTTGGGCTGAATCGGAGCTCTTGCAGTGTCTGTTCCCAGGTCCAACAGTTGGTTGTACCTGTTCCGGTAACATATTGCTATAGGTGTGGCAACCATATTGTTTGGTGCTATCAACTTAGTTACCTCAACTCAACTTACATTATTTGTTGTTTGCTGCTTCATACTGCCAGAATCGCCAGGGATCAACAGACAAACCAGAGAAGGAAAAGACTTAGAGTTAGACGGGCCAAGACTGGCCAAGGCCAAGGGCTAGAAACTAGCCAATGTGGGTGGGAAAAACTTGGTTTGTCTGACTGCAACCTTGGGCTGGACGAGTTTCATCATGTATCACCAGCGTCAGCATTGCCATCATCATCACCACTGCCAATATCATCATCACCATCACCATCAACATCAACATCTTTATCCTCTATCATGGGCTTCTTGATTTGGTTCCATATGACATATGACATGTCTCAGCTCTGGCCTACCAAGGTCAATTCAACTCTACATCTCGAGGTGCATGGTGCACGACCGATCTAAGATGGATCAGACCGAGGGCAAAACATTTGCCAGCGTGCCGGGAGTAGGGTATAAGGAAAATGTAAAGGATTAAGTTCTCTCAAACTATCAACCAAATCCATTTCCAAATTGCCACATGGTTGTAATCGTAATCAATGAAATCTTCTCTTTATCTACTGGTTATTGATAAGGCTCACTGAAAGGCCTATGAGGCTATGAGGGGAATCCACCATTGACCACCATGACCTCACCCAGTTGAGCTCCCTAGGGAACCCCGAAAAGCGCTCCCCTAGGGCTACCTTATATAGCATTGGAAGGCTTCAATCTAGAGAGGTTGAAGCACATGCCTAATTCATATCTTCATTATCAAATGTTCTAAGTGCAATGCAGATAGAATATTGTGGAAATTTCCATCCGGACCTCGAACGGAGCCCGCTGGATCCTCCAGGATGAATACGTCAATATTCTAAGTGATAGCCTGTCACTATATGTATATATATATATACACATACTCTCTTGTAATTCTACCGTTGATCATTTGAGGTTGATATTGATTAATAAAAATTTATTGACTGTAAATAGTGGTGAATGTTGGGAACATTTCGAACCCAAGAAAGATGCTAATATTTCCTGGCTGATGTTGATTTGGGCACGGCAGAATTTGCTGGAAATGGCTGGGTAGCTGCTGACTTCGTACATTTGGCATCACTTTGATTTGCTTTTTGATCAATGGGACTATAATGGTTCTTTGTTTTTTTCAAATATTCCGATTATATTGCCATTATATATGTTGACATTATTTGATGTTTGTCATTGCCCCAGCCCATTTACTGTATCTCATCCTCCAATGCGTGCAGGTGAGTCCGAACAACTTCCAACCCTGAAACCCCTCGCCGCGCGACAGTTTGCACTGCAAACTGTCGCGCGGCGAGGGGCTTCAGGGTTGGAAGTTGTCAGTTTGCACAGAACGGATTGAAGAGGACATGACATAGATAATGCTATAGCAACTATAGCACATCGGCAGAAACTGCTGCTGGCACGATTCCGAACGAGGATGGAAAAACACGTCCTCAGCAGATTAATCATTAAACGCCCCGTACTCCTGTGAGGTCGCTTAGACATGTTTAAGATTGTTTAACTGCGTGTGTGTTGATGTTGAACAAACATCACGGTGCATTTTAGCTCCTTTGGTTCGTTGCAATAGAAACGGGACTGGGACTGGGCTCTGGGTGAAGGTTTCACTTGGCCGCTGAGACTTGCCGTTGATGGCAGATGGGAACATGGCATCGGTGGAATCGCGGACAAAAAGTTGTGTGTGCACAAGAGACGACCTGGAGTTTCCAGTTCTTGAAAGGTGTTTAGAAAAAGGTAAATTCATTCCCTAGATGATGGCGAACCTGAGACAACTGGCAAATGTGAATGTGACCACACTGCGCACTTTCCGACAGAATTTCACATCGGAGCATACGGTAGCATACGCTATGGCAGCAGATGCCTGCAAACAAAATATTGGCCTTGAAATTGGGACGCACTTTGGTTAATTACACATTTTAGATATTTTTAGATCATTTTAGACATATCATCATAGTGATATTTACCCGTAGCATCAATAGGCACCACACGAACTGCACATTTCGCAACATAACTAGCGGAGGCAGAGCGAACGGCCTTTCTTGAGCACTTGAGCATGGGATGGAAAGGTGATGGTGATGCCAAGGATTCGTTGTGAGAAGGTTGTGATGTTGTGATCGTGTTTGCTGCCCTGCGATCAGGCCCAGGGGAGTGGCAGCAGGCTCGTTTTGGATGTTTTTGGTGGTTCAAGCTCAAGGGTAAGCTCCTTTGCTTCAAAATGGTGAGGCCAAACTCCAACAACGGGGACAGCGAGCAGAGCGATAGTTCCTGTGGAGACTCCTGAATCAAGGCATGAGTTGTGGCTGTGCAGTGCCGGGGTTTCCAACGTTGGTACGACAACCTGGTTTGACGATCAAGCATCCTGCTGGCTGCCAAACAGGCTTGCCGCCCTTCAGATGGGTGGCACAGACGAGAATGGCTGGTATTCGAAGAACGGTGCCCTCGTCCAGCGATCCAAGGAGATTTGCTTGAAGCAAACGGGCAAGAGCGATCGTGATGAATCATCATTTTTGGTGTTTGCCAGACGAAAGATACGAAAGTTACTGTTAGGATTGTTATGTAATTTCAATTTCTTCCAGAATCTTCCAGATGTGGGCCATCCATTCAAGCCCTCGCCTGGAGGAAGGCGGGCCGGAAGGCCAGCTGCCTTTCAGCCAGGCGAGACAGAAGTGATGTCTCCGTTGGACGATGATTTTTGGCGCTTAGAGGGGCGCATATAGACATAACAAGAACATACAAGAGCTGTCGTTGATTGAGAAAAGTATCGCCAATGCAAATCACGGCAGTGGTTCCAGAATATTCCCAGAATTAGTAGGCAATGATTGTGTGTGAAGAGGGCAGGTCACTTCAGTGTGCAAGTGAGTTGGTGTACTGTCGATGTGCTTTCCAACACACATAGAGCTAATTTCCACTGGTGCAGCAAATGCTTGCAGGCATCATCCACCCAACAGGCCTTTATGGATCATGTCCAGCTCCAAGAGATCTGTGCCGAGGATGGAAACCATCGGAACAGAGCAGTGATGAGGTCAAAGCCTGTCGTGTCGAACGAGTGGAGGCAAGACATGTTGAAATACAGTGGGTCTGTACCCGCCGTTCAGCATGACACATGACGTGCAAGTTGAACATAAGAATTTGAGGTTATTTGCACAAATCAGGTTTGGAAACTGTGATCATCATTTTCCGAAGCTTTGTTGGTCAAGTTCAGCAACTCTACTGTAAGTAAGAAAACAATAAACTTAATAAAGTCCATTAGTAGTGCTTGAGAAGGGCTTGGATTCAGCAATTTTCCTGTTTCACATGTTTTTTTTGTGACAAAGGAACGGCTGTGGTGTTCAGAATTCTTTCGCGGAACCAGAGTTTGCTTCAACATGTTCCGACGAGATCCTGTCCGAGAGCATCAACTTGTCCCCAACTACCCAAGTCCCCAGATCATGGTTGGACAAGATATGCCAATTTCTCTGTTGGACAATTCATGATTTTGCAGAGAATGCGATATGGATTCACATCCACGGCTCTCCTGGAACAAGAGATTGCACAATAAATTTCAGAATTTACCCTTCCCTTTTGTGAATTTGAAGTTTCTTGAAACTCAACCTACAGATTTCCATGATTTCCTAACTCCGACCTCGTTTCCTGGTTTCCGAAAGGGAGCCTGGCCTCATCGTGACCTTGAGCTTTGATCAGGATTTGCTGGAATTTCATCGCGACAAAATTGTCATGATCTCAGTCTCTGCTTCTGCTTTGCTTTCAACGACAGTTTTTGGCATTGAGAGGATCTTGGCTGGCTCACGTCAACTACATTTGAAGTCACGTGACCTGCAAAGAAATTTAGAAAACCTCTGGCCCTCTGGCAGGACGTGAACTTCCCTGACCCTTTGAAAGGGCAGACCCCTCTGATGTCACAGTCTTGGTCCATGGGTTGAAGTTCAATAAGTATCAAAAAGTGTCAACAAGTTTCAAATGTTTCAATCAAAAGTGTATTAAACGGGGAAAATCAGAGAACTTTGTTTCCCAGGCTAGCTACGCTGGCCGGCAACATCGACCTTGTGGACATCTTGCTTGAGGAGCCTTCGGATCTGCTGTGCATCAAATCAGCAGGCTGCAGCGGTCAGGCACAGGCAGATCCTCACCTTCGGGAACGAACTGAGCGGGCGTCCCAGAGCTCATCAATTTGGCATGGAGATGCAGAAGCTCTGCAGAAACAGCATAAAACAGCATGAAACAGCTTGAAAGTTTGTGAAACTTTTTGGGTTCTGACATTTCTACAAGTACTTGTACGTACTTGTATATCTCAGTACGCTCTGAGGATGGCGTACACCCCTCTGGAAGCTGCCCAGGTGATCATGCAGGCGCTTTGCCGGAAGCTGTCGTGTTGGAAGAATGGACATTGGGAATCCTGTGGAGACAAAGCACACACAGAAGAGTGCAACAATCACCGTGTACTTGTATCACCTTGTAACCCATTTCCACGTGCTTCAGTGCAATTTCACTTGATCATCTTGATCTGGAGGATGAAGATCCAGATTTTGAGGATCTAGTGCAGACTTCAGTCCTTTCAGAAATCATTGGAAAAGTATGGAAAAGTCATCGTTTGAGGGGCCACATCTTCCAAATTTCTCAGTGATCATTGCCTGCAAGGTGCGGATCCTGCAAGAAGCCTCTGGGTGGGAGCCGTCCACGCCTCAGAATTTAGTCGCTTTCAGACACAGTGCAGCAGTGCAGTGCACCAAACGAGGTCCCAGCGAGGAGCTGCGTAGTTCAATTGAGACGTTCTGCGAAGACAGCGGGGATGTTGGACTTCCCCAGCTTGGCGCTGCACAATCGCTCAAACCCCAGCGAGTTGAGAACGGCTCGAGAGGAATTGTGGCTGCTCTGCGGCTGCTCATTCAGGGCATCCACACCCAAAATACATCAAAATACCAGAATTTGAAGGTACGAAGGGCTACCGACAACAAGAGCGAATACTCCAGGAAAGCAACGTCAGTCAGGGTGCTTAAGACACACTGCAGAGATCCGCAGAGTCAGATGCAAAAAGCAGCGCAAATCGATGCAAATCACGGGAAGGCAACACGGCGGCTTACACTATTTTGTACTGCTAGGCAGCACAAGCACTGCACTTTTGTCAAATTGCTTGAAACGACTTTCGGTCTTGACTTGCAGATGTTTTTGGCTTACATCTTCAGTCACGGAAATGATAGGCATGGTTCCTGCACTACAACTCTTCAGTCTTCATGATATACGTGAGCATTACCTCCGAATAAGCAAACCACGCAACTCACAAAAAACAGAGTTGTATAATGTTGTATATATGGGAAGGACTAGCATTTTCAGCCTTACCCGCTGCGTAGACGCCATGAGCAGGATCTGGGATGTGAAAAGCAACTGCTAAGCTTTGAGGATTTGTAGCTTGTGCCAGGACATGCTGCCTCCCCTGGCTCTGCCCGGCTCCATCCAGTCCTCTTCTGCATCCTCCTGGCACAGTGCCCGGAATGGCAGGAGCCTGGAATGGGACAGCAGTGGATTCTATTGCCACAGCATGTTACAAACATGGAAGTCAATTGGTCGCAATCAAAGCTTGCACCATGCAAATTTACATAAATTGACTATTGTTAGGAGCAATGAGGGGGTGAAGTCAGATCCTGGTGGCTTCAGTTTCGAGGAGAGAGCAAGCCTTGAAACTTAGAGCATCTTAGAGCAAGAGACCGGAAGTAGAGCTGCTCAAAGTTAGTGATGCACAGAGGTTGTTTGGGAGTGCAGGTAAGATAAATCATATATAGAAACAGCCGGAAGCAACCCAATCATGCCCGACGCAACATTGAAAGAACGAAGCGAATTCTTCAAAACTCAAGCATCATGGCAAGGGACATCAAAGGACAACAATTTGCTGCTGTGCGCACGAAGATTCACGAAGTCTTGCAATGTTTGAGGCCGCTTGGGAGCCATTCGCCAAGCTGAAAGAGATGAAATCGAAGCCAAGCGCAAAGCTTTGGCAAAGCAGGACAGCTGCTCGACCCGCATGGCTGCACGGCAAAGTGTGTCAAGTCAAGAGATGTCGAAAAAGTGAAAGGATGAAAGGTAGCACAAGCTGGGTCATTGTCAGGCCTCGGAGCTCTCGAAAGCTGCAGCTGCACTGGCAGGCCTGAGCACTCTTATGAAGCTACTCAATCCTGCAGCAATGAGTTTGTGGCTTGAGGATGGAGATGATTTTGCGGACCCAGCAGAGCAGGGAGTCAAGCGTCAACTGGCTCTTACGAACCATCTCATTCTTTTGAGTTATTCATAGTTATTCCCTATCTTGTTGCAGGCGCATACCGAGACCGGTGGCGTTCTCCACGAGTTGAGGCTTGAGATTTAGATTTTAGATGCTTTACTTTAGATATCTTTAGATATCTTTAGATATCTTTAGATTGTTTAATCAAATTTCATCGTTTCACCATGTTTCACCTTCCGATACCTTCCGAACGCTGCGGAATGTTTGCGTCCAAATTCTCGCAATGCCTGTGAGGGAGATGCAGATGCGTCTGCCATTGCTAGTCTTCGCAAGGAGATGCAGGACATCTGCATCGGGGGAGGGGGTCCCTCAAATCAAGGTTTCTGGAACGACAATTTGCGCGTAGAGTCTGTGACAATCAGCACACATGTCATTGTTGCCGGCTTCCTTCTGATCCTCTCGACAAGATTTTGACAATTCTGCAACCTCTGGAGTGCGCATGCTTCCTCAGCTCCTTCGATGTGGCTATTGCATGCTATTGCGCCAGTTAGGTTCTTCTGGATAACATATTCTCATGATGAGTTAGGCCGCTACGCATCATCTTCAGCTATCAGGTAGGAATCCAGGATGAGTCGGAATTCGTTTTTCATGGTTTTCCCATTTTTCCCTACGTGCATGACGTACACTTACACAATTTCTGATAAGGAAAAGATGGAAGAGTAAGCTCTGCATCTTAGGACCTGCGTCGTGAATGTTTGGAAGCTCGTGCTCCAAGCCCAACTGCGAAGGCAAGGCAGTTTTACATGTCTAACATGTCCAACATGTCCACTGTGCCTTAACATCTCCACGAGGAAACTATGTCTGCAGCAGAGACTGGCGCAGGCATGTTGCAGTAGCAAGAAGCTGCGCTTCATGGATCTTCATGGCTAAGTTGGCTATATTTTCTATTACTTTCTCAGCTGCTGGCAAAGGATCGGGCCACAGGCCATCTGCTTCCTCTGGGTGGAGGTGAGAGTTTGGCAAGACTGACAAAATCTTGAGGTGCTGAAATCATCCCACATCAGTAAGCTTGATGTAAGATATGCGTTTCATGCTATGTTCTCACACATATAACCTAATTATAACATTTTGATATCCCTGATTCAGGCAGCCGTTTGCTGGAAAAGGCTTCTCTCGCGGTGCGGGAACCGGGTCAAGTCTCGGTCACCAGTACCCTCAACGCGTAGTCTTTGGCAGGTGCCAGCAGCGCTGTGTTTGGCGATGTTTGGTGTTTGATTCTTGCAGCCATTCAAACTCGTCAAACATGAAGCCTCTACCGTGAAATGCTGAAGGTATGCAAAGCATCGAGCTTCGTATATCGCAAGCCACAAGGCGGAGAACAATATCTACAATAGCAATCTCCAGCAGCGAATTTGATGCAACATATGCAAGTGTCCTCTTGCAAGACCTATGTGCAGGTGGCGGAGCGTGTGAGGCAGGATGCATGCTGCAGCAATTCCATTGCAACATGGTGTCCAAATGTGTCCAAATGTGCACAACATGATGCAGCACGGTGTTCCTTTGACATACAATGCTGGTATGGTGTGCTCATTGGGCAGGTCATGATGAATTGACTTGAAGTACATAGGATTTTGTGTGTCCAGGAAAATGGGAGCAGGTCGAGAGGAACCAGAGGAAGTTCAGCCATCAGCAGGCCTCACTGGTGTGAATCGTGTTGCTTGGTCTTCGTTATGAGCGTTTTCAAGTTTTCAATCCAGGTGATGATGATTGGCAAGATGAAGACTGGTACGCCCCAAACACTTCACTCCGCAGAGATGCGGTTTGCAACAATTCCCATGTCGTGTTTTTGCATCACATCATCTCGTGAGGCGAGTTTTTGCAAGGAACAATAGAAATCAATAGAAGCTCAATTCCTGCATGTTGTGAGGTACGAAGATGAATGGTGGGATGATGAAGATGGTGGATGGGATGAGGGGGATGGATGGGATGAAGGATGGTAAGCTTGGTGTGGTGCACCAGATACCGCATGGATTTGTATGGTGCCGCTTGCAAAGCAACCTGCACCATTCTAAACGACGAGATCCTTTTTGGCCAATTCTTGGCCTGAACCCCCAAGGGGGAATCTACTGTAGGTAAGAAGAAACCTCCGTTCGAAGCCGAAACCATGTACAGTCGCGCAAAACAGCGTCAGTAGATGCGAAGCAGTTGGCCACTTAGACACCATAGTTACTTGCATATACTTGCAAAGTTGCTTGACAGTACTGAGAAACCTATTGAAACATATTGAAACATTTCAAGCACATCTAAAACCAAGCGCAGTTGCAAGCCATACAGCTGAAGATTGGAGCTGCTCAGCCAAAGCAATTTGGCTACTGTGGCTTAGTTTGTCGCTTGGGATTTCAGCAGGTTGAACTTCGGCAGTCTGAGCTGGATAGAAACCATGTGCAAGATTGGGCTATGCCATGTATTCCTATATATATATAATTAACATTAATTAACTATAACTATAATTATACGTATATATATATATATTATTATATATTCCAGTTTTATGTCATTCTCTATTCCGTGCATTTTCAGACTTGGAGCAGCGCCATGCTGACTTTTAGCAGAGCTTGTGCTCCATTCTTAAGGAGACAGGGGAACGGAATGGAACAGAGAGGCCTGCAGAATCGTACTGAACAAACAAGCATTTGCATTTTTTTAAAATGTACATACGTATGTGATAACTTATCATATCATTTATATATATATAATATATATATAATATTATACATATTGATACGATACGATACGATACGATGTAAGCACAGATACGTCTGCATGGAGAGCAAGCTCTCACTTCTCACTAAAAGTATGGCAGGTAAGCTGAAATGTGACACATGGTTTGTTCATGTAATCAAAGTTGTGCAGAAGTAGGAGTCGAACCCGTCACCAGAATTTATCCGATTGTCGGAATCTCGCATTCTGTGGCCGTTCAAGGTGGAAGGATGTGGAAGGCATTTCTGAACAATTTAAACACCATTTACAAATCTGCATCTTATTATTTTTTCTCAAAATCTTGCTGTATTTGGGCAGTATCGCTCCAGGATGAGAGGGCCTGTGCGCGCACTGTCAAGCGTCTCATGGCATGCGTTTGGCCAGTCACTCAGAGGCGCAATGAGACATATCATCGAAGTATATGGGACTCAACTACCTGATACACTCAGTATATCCTGAGATTTTGGACATCGCAAATCATGTTATTTTTAGATTTCGAACCTGTTTGATTCAGCCTGAGGCAGTGCCGAGACAGGCGCGGAAACTTGATGTCTTGTCGCTACAGTGGCACTGTAGAACGAAACCATACAAATGTATACAAAGGTGATGGGCAAGGTATGAAATCAGAATGTGTTTGCACAGGGTCATGTATCGTATCTTTTTCTTTTGAGATTTCTCTCCACAAAATAGCACGTGCTTGCAGGGTTGTTTGCAGCCTTGCTCAAATTCAGAAAACAATCTACGGCATCTACGTTTGAGAGCAATTTTGGTTTTCATCGCAATGTCGCACGGCGATGGGATTTCGTTGCCTGGGGATCATGGGAGAAGTGGGCGGACACCATCCTTGTTGTTTTCAATCGAAGTGAGAGACCTTGTTTGGGGCGTTGGAATCTTGGAGTCGTTCCGAGATGAGAAGCAGACTGCAAGCCTGGACTTACATCCACCGCAAAACCAACATGATTCCACACTGCCGTTGCCTCAGGCAACATGCGAGATAAGAGGGAAGTTGTTGTTGGGGGTTGAATGGAACAAGAGCGGTGCAAAAATAGAATTGCACTCCATCCGCTCGCTGGTCCTACCAGTGTCCAGATTTTATGAACTCAAGAGGGCAGATTCAGGAGGTGAAAACGACACAACCTTGTGGACCCTGCAAGTCTGGGCGTTGCCACCGGCCAATGTAGAATCGACAAGCATTCCAGTTTGCAAAATTGAAATGGCAGAGCCAAAAGGTCCGAAAGCGATTCCGTTTACGCAGCACAAGTTGAAGCTGGAACGTCCCATCGAGGTTTTCTGGCCAGAGACGTGGCAGAACTGGCCGACGTTTGAAGCTGCAACAGCAACAGAAGCCTCTGAAGCCCAAGGTGATCAAGTTACAACACAGGATGTTAGGAATGTTACCGATGTGACGGCCGCTGGAGTGGAAGTGCTGAATCACAGCATGCATGGCCTGCATAGCGTGACAAGCAGCGTAGCAATGCGTTGCCGACATGCCATGTTTGAAGGTGCCACTGAGAACGGAGCCACAGCTCGCAGTTTGAAACATTGGGCTGAACTCGAAAGTTGGTTTCTCTTTGGGCCGCGATATGCTCGATATGACGATGAGCTGCTTCCAATTGATGAAGTCACGGCACTTCATCCAAATGGCGAGTTTGCTCTGACTGAGAGCGATTTGCTAGAGTTGAGACAAGATGACAACTACATTTTTTGCCACTCGAGCGTCGTGCGCTTTGTGTTGTTGTCATGGGGCTGGGACGTTGAAGCTGGAGAACTTACAAAGGACGAAGTCAGTGGGCAAGGTTGGATGTCTAGCGGAAGGCATGCTTGGAGATTAAGACATTTGTGCCTGTCTTGTTGGCTCTTGGGACAAGACGACTTACGCCAAACATGTAACGACTTCGTCATGTCGCTGGGCGCAGATGCCCCTTGGACAGAAGATGGCTTTTCCGAAGCCTTGTTTACACTGGGCATTCAGCAGAAAGCTGAAGAATTCTGGAACTCACGCATGCCAGCGAGTCCGGGCCTCAATGAGAACTGAAAGCGCTTTTCTATGGTCTTGCCATATTGACATATTGACTGGAGGTGCTATACAGAGGTAATGTAAGAATTTTCACCGTCGCGTCTGACGGAGAGTTCTATGATTAGAATCATAATGAGTTCATGTACAGATGAGGGTGTACAACTGACCAAAATTGTCAGGTTGGATAATGTGTCGATACTAGGGAAAACCCAACATGTATCCTAGAAACATCATCATCCAGGTCATCCTATTCTCCATGTTTTTGCAAACCTACGGACCTTAGGCTGCCCGACAGAAGATCCTCGTACTCTTCAAGGTATACTGCTCGCAGATGATCTTCAAATAGATCAGACCTTGTAGCGCAGCAAAAAAACATGCAAACAAGACACGTGAACTGTCGCAGGGTGTTGCAAAGGTTGATTCAACTGCGTGGTTCTTACATAAGTTCAGAGCACCTCAAGAAGACCTTGAGTTTTCTATTCGCATTATTTCGCATTATATATTCGCGTTCTGGGTTCAGGCTTGAAGGTTCTGATGCCACTGCCGGTTCCGCTGGTCCGACAGGCTGGTACTTCTTTTATTGCTGCTCTTGTCACCAACGTAGAATATTTGCGTTTATTTGCAGGATGTTCACCAGCGTAACAAGACTTTGATCCCCAGATCACGTTCCCCAACCATTGCTGTTCATGGACCGTTCATCGACCAGAAGGAGACATGATTACAGCAACCCCCAAGAAAATAGAACAATAATTCCTACTAACATTGTGGCTGAATGACTTTTCTGTTATTTGGGAGCTACTATACCTGATTGTGAAATAGAGGTCAACCTGCTTGGGATGTGGCTGAGAAGCCTGTACCTGTGACCATTGCCTGTTCCTACTCAAGGCTTTGACCAGTCAGATCCTTTGTAATTTGGAGCCTCGAGCTTCGGCTTCGATCAAAGCAGTGAACACATGCAGGTTTTACATGGTTTTACATGGTTTTACATGTTTTTACCAGTAAATTCTATTCAATATGCTGGCGCAATGACATTTGGGCCAGAGTCGGCCAGTTCGATAAGATATGCCGAAACAAGGTGAGATAGTGCGGGCTGGATGATTCACATTGATTCACGCTTTCAGCATATTTTGAAGAGTAAGAGTAACTATGGCCAGGTCTTGAATATTCAGGTTCCAGTAGCATTGCCATGGCCGACGATGTCGCGACAAGGGCTCCGGAAAGCCCGCGCAGAAGCACTAAAGCCGAAGGCGACAGAGCTTTGTCACCTCTGGTCGCTTTGCTGAGAAGGTTTGCTATTGCAGAATATTGCAGAATTTGACAACGTGAAAAACATATGAACACTTTCCTTGGACCTGTCATGCTGTACCTTTCTAGATTCTCTAGCCAACTCCAACTAAGGCAGTCTTGCGGAAGGCGTGGGCTGAGCACCATTGGGTAATATAATATGTAGTTATGATTTACGCATATTTAGGATAATGTATAGATGATAATGTTATGATTCATGACGGCTTGTCAACGGTTCTCAACCTTCTGTAGATGCCTCCAAGGCCGTGTTTGCTTCAGGTAGCGCGGAAGTTTGGTCTGCTGCAGGAAGATCACACTTGGCTGGAGGCTTTGGGGGGTGTGAGTATAGTGTGGTATAGTCATGGTGCAAGGGCGCAGGACAGACATTGATAGAACGATGATAGAAAAGGATAGAAAAGGGTACAGAATGCATTGAATATATATATATATATATAGTTTTTTATAGTTTGACCCTAGTGAGGTTGACTATGACGAAGGCGGCGAGGAAATGAAAGAAGAAGACGATGATGAGGAAGTCGCCGTTGATGATGAAGAAGAAGAAGGCACTGGAGCTGCCGAAACTGCCGGTGAGGCAGAAAAGATGCCGAACTGGGCATTGAACCTTGATGTCGGAAGCATACGATTGCCTGCAAAGGGACTGATCAACAACGATTCGTCCGAAGGTGCGGCTCAGCTTTTCGACAATGCTGTTTTGGTCAAGGTTATGGGCATGTACAAGTACTACTACAAGCAGCGTGTCATGATGACACCCGAGGAATACCGGGCCCAAATGACTACCGGTAGCGTCGGGAGGCTGGACTTGGATGGTATCTGCCCTTACACAGGCGACAATGATGATGGAACGCTTCGACGCCCATCTGAAGAAGAGCTTGATGTAATGTTCAGGGCCAAGGCGAAGGAGGAAGAGTGGATGCAGGGCGAGAAAATGCGCGGAGGCCGTCCACGGGATATGTTGACGCCCATGATCCAGACGCTTGAAATCTACGAGAAGCTCATGGAAAGACTTGTGCTTGCAGGATTCAAGCCCGATGACCTCCAGTTCCTCGTCCCAATGCATAAGATGAAAGGCACTCCTGAGGAGAAAAATGAAATGAGGGCCAAGATGAGCGATTTCTTAGGTAGACTATTGAAAAGTGCTTTCCCGAATTCAACACAATACACCTACTTTAGAGCTGGTGATCATGGATTCGAAGATTGCATTGAGATCCCCGCCTTCACGGTCTATTTGGCCTACAGGGAGAAGGAGCGATCCATGGAATTGCTGGTGACAGCAATTCAATGCAATATGAACCTTCCACAAGCTTTTATCGGAAGGATTGCGCACGCTGTCAAGCGTGCAGAGCAGGAAGCCTCCAAAGGGCACCTGCGATGGATCCAGCACATAGCACCGAATGTTGATCCCAACATCGTGCAGAATGTCTACAAATCGATTGGCGAAACTGAAGGTGCAAAGAGGGCTGTTGACGATGCTGTCAAAGCTGAAGCAGCAAGAGCATCTGAAGCAGAAGCAAAGGCTAAGGGCGGCCCCAAGGCCTATGCACCGAGGCCACCTCCACCAAAAGTTATGCCAACGAGCGCCCCAGGTCACTCGAGTTCTTCCTCATCCGCAGCGCCTGGTCCTGCTAAGGCCAAACCTGCATACAAACAATTGCCCACAACGGCAAAGTCAACCCGGCCATCTCCTGGTGACAGACCACAACAAGCGCCCCAGTATAAGAAGAAACGCACGGACTAATTTGATTCTACTTTCTTCTACAAATTGATGACTGCTGGGCACTATGTGGCGATCTTCGTCTTCATTGATGAACGTCATATCGAATGACTCGTGAGAGGATTCTGAGCGAGGCCTAGCGCTAGATTAGCTTAGTTTTCTCACCAAGTCAAAATTCAAGAGTTGTATTCCAATTCGAACTTTTCTTTTGTACAGTTGCCCGCTGTAAACCGCGAAGCCGGTAGGATACGGGGATCCTGACCTCGTAACACCCATCGGGTGCCGAGGGAGGGTGAACCGTGTAGAATAATCATTTTTTGCGGCGACTGTAGCGTATACACTATTTCAATGGGTTCCCATCCTTCGTGTTCAGTGAAAGCAAAATTGCACTGAACATGGGGGGTGCGAAAGGGAACTAAGCAATACATGCATGGGTTACAGCGTAAAATATCCCCATGTATCAAGAGTGACGACTGCCAACGCCACGTTGGCTCAAGCTCCCGCAAACAGCAAAACATTCGCGCTGCTATGGTCTCCACGTGCCCTTGAAACGCTGACAAACGGCAAAACGCAGAGACTCCAAAACTCTAAGAGCATATCCGGAACAGGGATTGATCTGTTCACAATATATATATATATTGAAATATATTGAATGCACCACAATGCCATGCCCAGTTCCTGGCTCGGACAGCGGCGAAGCTCCGAAGGACAGCCATGGCCAAAGTGGAGATCCTTCTGTGCAATACCAGCGCGGTGAGCAGCCAATAGCAGCCTGTTTCTGAGTGTTGCTGCGTTGCTTCCTTTTGCACATTTGAAGCTTTCAAAAGTACAAGAATTGTCAAGAAATTATCAAGACATGTTTGTTTCATATTGTTTCTATTGTTTCATCATTTTTCTTGTTTCAGAAGTGGTGGACGCTCTTGCCGGTGGAGCCCTTCAAGTACCAGCGAGTAGTTGCAGAGGGGCTTAGTTGGAATATTTTGGAATGCAGTTTGATGCTCTCTTGTTTTCTTCATTTTCTTCCGAGCCATCTCCATCACTTGCCCTTTCCGTCTAGGTTTTTGACACCGAAACGTCGGGCTTCGGTGCAGAGGATGAGATCATAGAGATTGGCGCTGTGGAGTTGGAGGTTGGAATCGGGTTGGATCGCGCAGTAGCAGCTGGACATATTGGACCATGTTAGACGGCGCAGCACCATGCAAGCCACTGCAACGGTACTCAGGTGCGTTCCAAAGCAGAAAATGGGAGCACCTGGGTTGCATGTGGGGTCACGCGAAATCAAGAAAGGGCCGGGCATAGCCATCTCAGTGATGAAATCGATTGAAGCACAAAGAAATCTCAGGCAGTTTGTGGTCAAGTTTGTGGCCAACGGGAGTATGTTTTCACAGCTTGGATCTGAGAGCAGGAGTGCAGGGCATGCGATCAAGCATACATGTCACACCACGTTGCAGCCATGGACATGAGGCCTATTGCAAGCCACCAGGCCAATCAATGCCAAAGCGTCGCAAGTGAATGGTCTGGATTTCGAGATGTTGCAGGCAGGTGTGAAGATGTGTCAATTACATTGAATTACATTCAATTAGTACAGCAGCTTGTGAGTTGAAGACAAGTGCTGAGGCAGTGGCATCTAAGCAAGATGCTATCCGCAGATTTATGAACTTCATTGGTGACGAGAAGACAGCGCTGATTGCACACAATGCTGCATTTGACTTGAGGACCCAACCCTTGTTTTAGCATGTTTTAGCTTCCCCTGATTTTACTGTGTGTTACTGGTATCATGCTATATCATGCTATTTGAAACTTTGTATGCAGGAGGTAAAGCCTTGACCAGCACCTATAGGATCTATCCTGCAGGCAGACTGAGAATGCTGACTTTTGACTTGTCTGCCTGCCGTTTTGCGGGCTCAAACGTAGCATCCTCCGGTTTTAGGATTTCCCAGCTGTGCCGGTCCAATGCTTGTCAGGCCCGGTTTCATGCCAGGTTTCATGCCAGTAATCAACAGTGACTGTCCACGCTTGGTTCAAGACCTGCAACTGGACATGACGTTTTCATACGTTTTCCAACTTCATCCAAATAATTCCAAACTCACATATTCCATATTCCATCATGTTCAGGTAAAGCAATGGCGCAAGCATGGAACCCAACGGTCGCACGACACTGAGTCTTGATCGGCACTGGCTTGGTGCCATGACGAAGTTGTGATATGCCGAACTCCTGGACTGTGCTGAGGCCTGCACGCCAACGAAGATCAGAAAACAAATTGCAGAATGACTCTTGGTTGAACTTTAATTTGAACTTGGCACCAGATATCCAGATGACACCCAGATAATTATATCCAGATGACTGTGGCATACTGTGGCTTCTACATGTGCAGACATTTGGCTGGAGTCCAATTGCAGCACGTGCGCAGGTGAAGCTCTCACCATTGCTGCCAGCCTGAAGGGCGAAAAGCAGGCGAGGTTGATGAAGGCTGATTGAAAAAGGGCTAAGCTCCCAAACACTCACATAGAACAACCATCAAGGATCACGTTGGATACAGTGCCACAATGTGAAATACAATTGCCAGTTTACTGCCTCGGATCTCAGTTCTTCAAGTTCTTGATTTGCAATGACACTTCTGTATGGCATAGTATAGATATAGTATGAGTGTAGTATGTGTATCGCAGTATAGCCCCAAGTCATCCAAGTCATGGAAACCCACAACTTTCCACGCCGCCAGCTTCCGACCATGTCGTTTTTGATGCACCGTGGCCACTGTGTGGCCACTCCGTGGGCCAGGTTGAAAAAGAAAGGCAGCGGCTGGAAGAAGTGCTCAAAAGGAGAGAGGAGATCGTGGAATCACATCAAAAGGCAACTTGACTCAACTTGACTCAACTTGGCAGCTTGAGGGCAGCTTGAATTTTCATACATTTGGACACTTCCCATGCAGTTGCTTGTTGGTCCTTGACAAATTTGCGTAAACTGGCAGCGGTTTGTGAGGTGCTCGCGAAAATGACAGAGGAGTGGAACCTAACTG